GTGCCTGGCCCCCAAGGCAGCCAGGATTGCAGGAAGCACTTTCCCGACTTGGTGCCGAGGAGGACTTTCTTCAGCCTTATCAAGACCAGTAGAGACTCAGGCACCTAGCAGGACGTCTTCAGGTTGGGGACAGACAGAGGTCCCAATGCCCTGAAAATGGTACCATCTGCTTCGCTAATTCTCTGAATTCCCAAAAGCAGCCAGTCACCCCCCTCAGACACCCAGGCCTCAGTCCGGAGCCCTCAAGCTGGATCCTTCTCCTGTCCCTATCACAACCCTGTCCCTACCGCCATCGATGACTCCGGACAGCAGCCAGGGGGAAATGGTGAGGGGTGGCACTGTGGGTGCACAGAGAGGTGCCTCACACCAGGACAGCAGCTGCGCATCAGTAATGGCGCCCGGTGCTGTGATTCAGGAGAGCACTCTGGGCTGCACTTTCTCCCACTTGCAATGATGGGACAGCCTCGGTAGGGCTGGGGAATAACAGGCCTGAGGGAGGCAAAGTGCTGGACAGCATGGGCTGGGTGTTGAGCTGGTGTTGCTTTAGCTGTGGTTGGGAGTGCTGCATACAGACAGGAGCCCCACAGGGGTAAGGAGGAGTCTGGGAGTGGAGGCCTGAGAAGTGCATCCTCCCAGGGTGACTCTGAGTAGGAGGGCACGTCCTCTCCTTTGGCGTTGTTGCCTCAACAGGCTGGCTAGGGGGCCTGGATGAGGCCCAGCCTCCAGCAAAGTCTCTGCCTCTTGGTGTCCTGTCCTGGCCTCTCCACTGATGTCCAGGTTTCTCTGTGATGACACTGTCCCTGCCCCTGTGATATGCAGGGACCATGGGTCAGCTATGCTCTCTGACCCTCCAGGAGCTCTGGCTCCATCTCAGCTCTGCTGGCAAAGATGGAACTCTCTGGAGGGGAAAGGAAACAGGACCTCTCATGGGGCAGATCCTGTTGGTCCCTGAGCTGTACAGGCTGTGGGTCTGTGCTGCACAGCCTGGCTCAGCTCACCTGCACCTCGTGTGTCCACCTCATGCTGCCAGCTGCCCCACCTTCACCCCTCCTCCCCTTTCTGTGGGTCTCCAAAGCCACCTCCCACTCTACCATTAGAGTGACCTTTCTGTGAGGCTAATCTGACAATGCCAGTCCCCAACTTAAAGCCAGACTGTGGCTGCCCTTGTAATGAAAACTTCTTTGCTTGCCATTCAAGACCCTGGATGGCCTTGGAATCATTTTGCACTAGTTTCTCTCATAAGCCCTCCTGCCCTTCAGCCACAGGCTTCTCATACAGGTGACAACTGTTTACCATCTTGCTTCTGCTCCAAAGCCCACCCCAAAGAACACAGCCTTCCTCTCCCCGAGCCCAGTGTCCACTGAGTGGAAGTCCCATCTCCCTCCCGTCCCATCTCTCTGCCGTCTCACTCATGGTGAACCTGCCTTACCTCTCTTGCGGGACACAGAGGGATCCTTGAAGGCAGGGACCATGGCGGCTGACTCAGCTCCGATCCCAGCATAGGCCCAGGCCAGAGGAGGGAACTATAGCGTCTGTTGGATGCACACATTTTGGGCACTGGGCTCACAGGCACCCACATGTCTGCACTCAGATACAGGTAGAGAGTCATAGCTCTGCCACGGTACTAGATCTGTGCTGGCTCCAGGTCAGCTCCTTGTGCGCTCATCCAGGGACCCAGGCTAAGGGCCAGCAGTCATCTGGATCAAGCCCTTTACATGGAAACTCTAGCAGAGCTGAGCGAGTCCACATACAGCCCCTGCTCTGGTCCCACCCACAAACCTCCACTGGTCTGAGCAAGTCGTGCAGCCGAGCTCACCTACACCAGGGAGACTGCGCAGTCACAGGACAAGGGGAGCGAGTGGAGACCTGGGCACACCTTCCAGCCAAATCGCACCCTCTGTTGTGCCTGCAGGCTTGGTCCCCATCCTCTGAGGGGCCACCTGACCACGTGCAGGTACGTTAACTCTCTGTGCTTAGGATTCTCAGCAGGAGAATGGAGACAGTAAGAGTGCTTTTCAGAGGATTGTGTGAGTTTAAGGAAAGGAACCATGCTCAAAGAATTTGTGGTGTACCTGGAACACCCAGTAAAAGTGAGCTGCTGGGGCCGGGGATTTAGTTCAGTGGTTCTGCTGCCTGCCTCGCAAGCACAAGGACCAGAGATCAATCCCTGGTACAAAAAAAAAAAAAA